CCCATAAATTCCATTTTATTCCCAGAGCCCCCCCCCCAGAGTGAACCAGTGACACACGCCCCTCTCCGCCCCCCACCTCCCACCCCCCCAAAAAAACAAACAACCTGCACAGATTTCAGGCAGGATCCTGTTCTGTCTGTGTGGAGAAGGTTCTGTTGACTTTGCTGTGGAGGACCTGGTAGCAGGTCTGTGGGTGACCATTCTCATCCTCACCACTGTAGGCTGTCAGACATAGATTCAGCCACGGACGCCCCCCTGTGGACACAAAAGGTAGAACAACAGCAAGTTCCTTCAATTGAGTGTTAAAGTAACATAACGGAACTGTTGTCAGTGCTGCCCATTACTCATGTTTAAGTTGTTTAAAGTTGGAAGTGTCTGACAGATGTACCTTTGCTGCCCTCTGGTGGACAGAGAAGAGCCATGGTTTGTTCGATGTACCTCTGAGCCTCCTGATTTACAGCTGAATCTTCTGCTGACAAGCCGAAGAACAGCTCCTGTGAGAGACACAGAAAAAAAAGAACAACAACTTTATCATATTTTTACATTTGATTATATTACAATTCATTTTCAATCCAGCACTTCTGACAGGTTCCTACGACATATTTTATATTCTCCATCTCTCTTTGATTTTTCTGGGTTGGTTTCGTGATGCATCCCAGAACAAAAGAACAAGCAGAAAACACGGTGTGACGTGGAACTCACAGCATCTCTCCACAGGAAGACGTCCAGAGTGTCGGTGGCGTCCTGCAGCTCCAGCTTCATCAGTAGGACAAACTGGAGAAGCTGAACACCTAGAGCTGCACACCAGAGTCTTAGCTGTGTTTTGTTCAACCAGCTGCACTTAAAATTATATCAAAGTAATCAAAGTGAAAATACACAACACAAGTACTACTACAATTATTCTGTGTTCTACAGGAAAGAGGAAAGAGACGCTCACTTTATGGCTGTTGTGATTGGCTCATGAAAATGATGATTTTGAAGACGACGGTAAAAACATTTTTGACAAAAATACAGAACACAGAATAACACAACCAAACATGATGACAAGCAAATCAGGTGGAGTTAATCAAATAATACAGAACACAGAATAACACAACCAATCATAATGATGAGCGGGCAAATCAGGTGGAGTTAATCAAATAAATAAATAATGTTTTTGTTTAAGTTTCCGACCAAAAGCTAAATTTTGACTATTGGCCTGAAAAAAACAAAAACAAACAAATGATGTTTTATGCGTGTCCTCCGACACCACTGTGTTTTGACAGATCTGTCTCACCTTCTGCAATAACCTTCTCATCGATCACTTCCACTTCTTCAGACGGCTCCTGCACCGTGGCTTCAGAGCATCGCTTACACCTGGAAACACCGGAGAAGAATTTGGACTAATATATATATATACACATTAGGGATGTCCAATAATATCAGCTGACCGATATTATCAGCCTGATGTTAGCATAATTATGTCTGTACGTATTCTTATGGGGTTTTAACGCATACAAATATATATATAAAAACAAAGACATTAAATGTTAACGTCAAACATTAATCATGATTTTAGCACTGAAATGATTCTTCCTGATGAGTTCATCTAAACAAACTCAACAATTTTTAGAGTGATGTCTGACCCAAAGAATTTCTTTCTGCCCCTGATCAAGAACGGAGCAGACAGGTCGAACAGAGCCAGACGTCCTTCTGACGACCTCACAGGGACGATGTTGGGATAATCTTCTGCTAACAGACACATATCCTTCAGAGTGGCACCTGGAAAAAAAACACAAAGGCGTTCAATCCTTTCCAACATGTCTCAACCAAATAAACTAATAAACCAAATGATTGTTTTTACCACTGATGAAAAGGAGCTCCGTGGGCGTCCCTCTGGCCGTGAGCTCGGCGGACATGTGAATGTTCACAGTGCAGTTTGGGTTTCCTGGCTCCAGTTGTCCGTAGAGCACCCACGGTGGCAGGCTGCAGGAACTGGTGTCTGTGCACGACTCGGAAAACAGATCTGCCACCAGCTCGTCATCAGGAACCTCCACTCTGACAAAATGGACACCAGAATTAGAATGAGTCTGTAAAACAGGTCCATGTTTGAAGGTACCAATCAATTATATCAAAATACATCTCAGGTTTTTACAGCATGAAGACATTCACATTATAAAAAAATATAAAGTTCCTTTGTTGCCATTTTAAAGACACAGTAAACCATTTGCTGACACAGCATGAGTGTGGGGCTTTTGCTCACATAGATTTGCACTTGCTGCAGTAAAGTTTCAGAGCCTGGTAGAGTCTGCGAGGTTGGTAGGATTTGAGCTGGACCCTGACGTGGTGAGTCCCACCTGGGCCAGATCGCTTCACTTGGGAGAGAGTCGTAGGCTGTGCGCTGTGGCTACAGCTCATCACTGAAGGTCATGATGGAAAAAAAAAAAGAAACACGTGTTGAGGCTGGCACTGGGAAAAACTCTTTTGCTGCAGTAAAAAGACAAATATTGCTGCAAAACCATGAAGAAAATGACAAAAGATTTTTTGGTCCAAATTTAACGATGCAACTCTCATACTGTTAGTAGCTCTTGGTAAATTTAAAATTTAAAATTGCAAGGTTTTGCGGGTGCAGATCACAGCAGAGTTACACACCTGTCATGGAGTCCACTGTGTCTTCACCTGAAAACACAATGAAACAATCAAGAACTGAAGCACATTCCATCTCAGAGAGCACGATTTTGAAACATGTCTGTAGTACACTGTTCAAGTTCCAGGTCTACTCAGTGATTCTCTACCTAGGGTCTCTGGCGGTGTGCACCACATCTCCAACATCTCAGTGTCATCGACTGACTCCTCTTGTTCTTGGAACTTTTCAAAAGTTCTACAACAGAACAAAAATAAAAATCATTAGACGTCATAAAATGAGCAGCGATATACCACGTAAACAGTAGGGATGTCCGATAATATTGGCCGAACGATGCATAATTATATAATACCTAATATTGTTTTTTTTCCCTCCAATAATGAAAACCTGATAATGCAATGCCTGGGTTTCACCAAATAATGAAAATCGTTTTGGGGATAAATGGCTGTATATTAAAGTTAAAGTCACTAGATGGCAGCATTGCAGCTC